TTATTATTTACCTTCTAACCAGAATTACTTTATTCACACACATACACATACACACATGCACGCACGCACACACATGCACACATATAAAAAAGATTAACAGTATACATTTGACGCTAATAAAGAATGACTCATTGTGACCTTTGATTCTTGAACTTTGACGCACTGACGCATATGTCAATGCGGCTGGATATCTCAATGTTTGTCTCACACATAAAATCTGATACTTTCTCGCGAATCGATTCAGCTAAGACTGAACACTGCTGTCTAGTTCACTGGTTACAGTAGACGAAATTCACAGCATGTTGTAGAGTCTTCTCCTCGTGTGTACTTGTGTTACCTTTCCTTTGGAGTAAACAAGGCAGGCCGAGTAGGGATCATGATGCATGGGCAACACAGAGTGTTTACAAAACTGCCCAGGCTTTTTGCTCTGGCGAGTAGGAACTTCCTCCCTGGTTTTAAGTGGTCTCGCTAACAAATCGAGAAGCAGACTAAAGACACGTGAAGGCATCAACGGTTGAGGTAAATTGCCCCTAGAAGAAGCCGAACTTTGCTACACACACTCGCCATCGCCACGGGTTGTGATTCCCTGCATCCCTATAACCACAGCCTCCTGCAGAAAAGCCGAAGGAAGTCGTATCAATACCAAAATCGTCTGAAAAGACCGAAAAGTGCCAACACATCTATCTAGTATGTACCAGCCAACGTAGCTTCATGATTGTACTTCTACGTTTAGTCAAAGAATACTCAGGAAATCTGGCAATGTGTTTGCTGTAGTTAACCTCAACTCCCTACCCTATAAGGGTTGTTAGTTTGCCTTCTGTAAAAGTAATAATGGTGACACGACTATAGATGATACTTGTTTTGGAAAAGAAAACATCTAGAAACGAAAGAAACAATATCTAGATTGTACAGATGAAACATCCATAAAAATATCTAGTTAAGAAAAGAAAAAAAAGGTAAGAAAATATCTAGAATGAATGGAAAGAATGAATAAGAATTGGCATCACTGCACTTGGGACATTCCAACACGTGCTCCGTCTCCTTCTTGAGTAGCCAACGCAGAGTCGATATGCTGGTAATAGCACTAGTTGCAACGTCATTAACATTCAAATATATTTTCGTTAACAGTTTTCCAACACAATATTATCTGCAGCCCCTAAACATGTCATAATCAAGGCTGTCCAAGTTGGTAGTTTCGTAATATTAGGTTGCTTTTTGTTAAACCCTTGCCGGGCAATACTATATATTTGGTAGTACTCTCGATGTTATGTTATGTTTTAGGAACGCTGCATCAATATTTTAACTGTTGGCAGTTTACACTAGATCCAGTAAGCGTAACTGAAGGAAAACCAATGTCGGTCATGCCACTGGCAATTAAATCTTCCATGGATTTTTAATAAACGAACATTATGAATAAATAAATAAATAATGCAGGAAACTAATAGTGCAAGATCAACAATCTACTGCTTAAAAAACACAATGATCTGTTAGTTACAGTTTCGGAATAATATATAGAAATGAACATCGCTCTTCATTAGTATGCAAATTATGCTTAGACTTTGGGCTGTATATTTATATCTAGAGTTGGTCGTGCTCTGGAGCTACAGAAAGCTTTTTCTATCTGTCTAACGACATTCAGAAAAACAAAAATCGATCTTCTTTGAAGAATACAACAATAAACGCATTGATGAGATAATAGTTATTGCTCCAGACATTAAACAATGATGTCATGATAAGATATTTCAATTCTGATCAAACATAAGGTAGGCCAGTGTAATATATATATATATATATATATATATATATATATATATATATATATATATATATATATATATATGTGTGTGTGTGTGTGTGTGTGTGCGTGTGTGTAGATAGATATATATATATATATATATATATATGTGTGTGTGTGTGTGTGTGTGTGTGTGTGTGTGTCGATCAGCTTACACTGGAGCAGTATTACAAAATGCTTACGAAAAATGTCAAATGAGATGGGACAGACGGAAATTTTCCTTATAATTTATTAAGCTTTTTGTGAGAGGGCTTTCTAAACTGTTAATCCAGTATTGTGTCAGAAGGGAGCGATGGGTTGTTTATTCGTGGACTTAGCCTTGATAATCTTCGTTAATGGATTACAACATTCAGAGGGACAAGTCTTACATCGTATGTATACTTGTCGTTACGCTGCAGTTTGTCCTGTCTGTAGGATCCTCTACAATTAAAGAACTTAATCGATCACTAAATAACCTTGGCTTAATGTCTGTGTGTCTGTTCACCGTTAGAGGATGTCTCATATAGTGTTGCATAAAATCAGACTGTAGCCGTGGTCACTAGATGCGGCTGTGTACGAACCGGCGGCGATATAGACAGTTACTGTAACAATTGGTTACTTACCAAACAGTCCAGAAGTACTCCGTGTACGCAGGTACTGAGGGCCTTTTATGAGCAGCCTTTCAGGTTGCTTCCCCATGGTACATGATGTCAGAATCAGTGACATTTCGGAATCAAATCTCTACCAATTTTCCTTTGCAAATGTCTATACTGCAGCGACCAATCAACACCTTTGACACAGCTTCCCAGTCTTTGGCCTTTGCATGGCCTGAAAGTTTATCAACAGTCTCAGCTTAAGCTATTGTTTTTTTTTTTTTTAATATTATTTTAAAGGCAATCCATCTATTCCAAACATCCGATGCTATTCAGATACTGTAGCAAATATGTAGACACTGTAGAAATAACTAATGTGGTCAACGATAACCGTACTGATAGCCAGTTAGCGGTCCAAACAACCTATGGGCATAGATGTTGTCAGAGCATGTATCAAATGTAACGTTGACCGTACTGATAGTCATATGAAATACACGCATGGAAATAATGTCTGTCAAATAGCATAATTCCTTACTGATACTCTGGCATTCATGAGAAGCATGAAGGAATATTAGCTCTTTAAATACCATCTATCCTGAGTCCATAACCAAATCTGAGTTGTCCTCCTCCTGCATTCTTCGGTTTTTAAAACACGATGAAGAATCATTCCCAAATATTCCACATTAGCCGAAATGAGTTACTCCTATATTTTAGTAGAAGAGTTAGTAATGTTTCGGTTGTTGGTTTTCTAAAATCAAACAAATTTCTGTTACTGTTTACTTTTCCCCCCTGTGCACTACAAAGTGACTTAATCGGTATTTCCCCAGAATGGCTGGAGCTATTTATAACCAGGCTATATTTGATTTGGGTGACTGATTGGGAAGTTGGACTGGTGTTACGGGAAATGCCATGTTGAACAAGCTGACTCCACCAGAGATCAATGTGTTTAATGTCATTATTGCCAGAATCGATAATTAGCCATTGTAGCGTTGATCAGGTTGCCAGCTTGTGTGACATCTAGACTCGAAGGATGATATGGCAGCAGATTAATTACGTTTTGCCATTCTGAAAAAAAAAAAAAAATGAAACGGGAGAATAAAGTAATGAAATTTGTACAGAAACAAACACACGAATACAGTCTTTATCCTCTTCTATTCGTACGTCGAATCGAAGTAATTGCGATGTGCCTGTTTACAGCAAAGCTGCGGTATTTGCGCATTTCACTCCAGTTCGTCTGGCATTTGTCCAGCGGGTTAGCCTTCCTGTTGGTTAGTTGAGTATCCTTTACAGGACGTTGCAGAACCAACCCCAACAGCCACTGGCTGTTGTGGGGTTTTTCTAGGCAAATTACGTCCAGTAGTTTACCATTAGCCTCCCTGTACAAATACAATTTTAGAGAGAAAAAAAATAGGTTACAGTCAAGAGGTCCGACTTCACTGCCCTGGAATTTCTCCCATATGGCTGGGCCTTTCTCCTCACAGAACGGCTAGCCGCCTGCAGAAAGCGTCGCACAAAGCACGAACTCCGTGGCTCCGGTGCTGATCCCCAAGGATGTCGTAACAAATTGCACTCGTGAACTGAAAGGCGAAGTGAAACGAACCTATAACTTTCAGAGCGCAAAGCAAACGGCTTGGCCACCTCGCCACTCAAAGACAGGTTCTAGAAAAATTGCTTGTAATGCAAGCGCTAGAGGGCGTTGGTCATCTTCCCCATGTGGGTGGCTGGGTCCTGTTAGGGGTGGGGAGGAGGAAGAATAGTCCCACAGCCCCTCACCTCCCTACCCAAGAGTATATAAAAAAGGCATCTAACTATAGCGTGTGCTGGGATCAGATTGGTTAGGTTGGAAGGCGCAGATATCACAGCCTAGCTTTAAACCACAATACAGTATCGCTCAGTCTCTCTCTGCAGATTGGCTAGCTGCCTGGCGAGAGTGTCACAGAAGGCAATAACTCAGTAGCTTCAGCGACGATCCCCCGGAATCTCCGTAAACATTAAACGGGAAATTAATAGACTCAGTGCTCTAAGAAGCATGTCGTAATAGCCAACTAATTTGCCGAAATTAAATGTGTTTGGTCAAAAGGTGCAGATATCGCAGCCTAGCTGCAACACACAGCACAACAAAGTAAATGATCGTTTTTCAACAACTTCAAAGTTTTACAGGAATCATCATCATCATTATCATATGCAGAGCCAGCTGGCATAGGCGCTCATGCCTCTCCACAGATCACGATCCAAGGTTGCCTGGAACAGCTCTCTTGATGATATCCCTCCATGCCATTGTTTCAACCCATCCAGCATCACCTCTCTTGATCTGCCTCTACCCCTTCTTCCACTGATCTTTCCAGTTGTCACGATGTTCTCCAATGTCTCTCTTTTCATTATGTTTTTATGCTGTTAAAGGAATAAAAATATATTTTATAGACCATCTGAGACTCGGCGGGTGATGTGGTCAGCATCTGTTGCGCGCTGATTTGGGGTTAAGTGTGATATTGTGGGAAGGGGCAATGGTATGACTGTACTGCCTGTAAGTTCACGAGGAAAGAGTGTCAAGATAATCAGAGTATTAAGAGGAGACCAGTGAAAACGTCTATTCACGAACAAAGCGTGCATGCACGAGAGAAAGTGGACGCGTGGGTTTCTGTGTGGTGGGCTGAAAGCGTGGATAACGAGATAAAGTGTGAATTAAGTGACAGCGTGATTCTCGGGTAACATCAGCCACCCACCTGATCCTCGGGAACGCTCACATGAGCGAGTCCCGACAACACCCACAGGATCATGATTCACGAGAACGCCCACACAAGCGTGCCTCTCGGGTAATCACCATCCACCTACACGGATTCGACATATATAAATTGGGCTGCGTAGACAGTCCAGAGAGTGAGCTGTAGCCTGAGGGCTAAAGCCCCTCGGGGGCAATCGAGAAGTAGTCAAGATAGAGCGAGAAGTGAGAAGAGAGAGAAAACGAGAGTCAGAGACCTAGTCAGGGTCCAGGTAATCTTTCGAGTGTAACAGACAAGAATACCGTACGACTATCGGGCATTTAGGTCCGAGTAAGTGTCGGGATTGCGGTACATGTCAAAAGTATGAGAGGACTTATGGTAGAAGTCCTGTCGGTCATTGGAGTCTAACCGACTAGAATACCGTACGACTATCGGGCATTTAGGTCCGAGTAAGTGTCGGGATTGCGGTATGGGAAATATGGTCCCGCTGGCAAAGTAAGTCCAGGGGACGGGAAGACCAGTAGTGTCTGGTTCCGGAGTACGGCAAGAGAAGTCCGTCTCCAGTCAGCCGTGTTGGATGCTGAATTAATATCAAGGTCCAGTGAATGGGAGAAGTCGTCCTGTTCAGCTGTACGACGCGTCCAGAGAGTGGGACGCCGTCATCCTGGTATCTGCAGTAGTCCAGGAGAGGTCACTACACATTGAGAGATGGAGAGCTGTGAGGACAAATGAACGATGTGCGAATGTCAGCTGTGATCAATAACTACGTCTCTGCATTTGTGTCATGTATCCTGTTAAATAAACTTGTATGACGGTGTCATCGTCGTCGAGTTGTCTTGTTAAGAAAGGAAGCTGAAGAGTACCTGCTAGCACACTTGATAGTGTGCTGACTCAATTTAGCACACAACAGCATCACACCGACCGATTTCGCTTCCTATGACTTTACCTGGTATCCATTTAAGGCTGTGTCTACTGGGAGCCAAAGTAATTTTTGAAAAGTCTGGTTTCGCCACGATCTGAACCCACGACTTTCGGATCCGAAGGCGAGCATCTGGTCGCTACATCGCTCCCTAATAAAATGTAAGTAAACAAACATACATAGAAAAAAAAAAAAAAAAGAAATACATAATCATACAGACAACAGACAGACAGAGAAAGGAACACAGACACAAAAAATGACAAGTAGGCGTTAGGAAAAAAAAAAAAAGATGAAATGTGAGCAAAAATACAACGGTCAAGCAGCCGGACTGACGGACGACTGGGAGGGAACAACCGGGCTTACATCGGGTAATTCAGATTATGTATGTAGGCAGACAAACAGACAGTTAGATAGATAGACAGACAATGTAAAGGGTACAGCAAGTGTGCCTGTGTAGTCTATTTTGTATTTTCAGATGCTGTGGTACCAGCTCAGGCAACCCGACAATGGCTTCACAATCCTGTCTATTCCATTTTGTAACCAACATAATTATTCTCAACGGGAAATAAGACGTCAACAAGACCCAAGAGATGACTGTCAGTATGCAACCATGACTAGCCTCAAGAACAGAAGATTAAACATAGGTATGACCAGACAAGAGCGCTAAGCAGGAAGCCAAAGAAGAAGAAACAAACTTAGAAACTGGCGTCGTCAGCAGCTACACGCTGCAGGAGTTAGTAAGGAGGGGATCCGAGCACTTATGAATTGAATGGTTCGATGTGCAATGAGATCAATCGGTTGACTACTCACTAATTATCCTCACTGCGAGGCAACCTGGCAGGCCAGAGTCTGCTACGGCTAGTCGTGTAGGCCTACGTCTTTTCCCCAAGACTGCCACTAATGTAATTAACCCCCGCCCCCCACACACACGCATGTCATTAATATTGTATGCGTTCTTTGTCATATCGATAAGTTTCTTTTGCTCAACCAGTTGCGGCTTTTAGGCTATTTCAGCTGTTGGCAATGCTTTGTCGGATTCCAGAATGGCTTGAAGTGTTATCGAATACCATTGTGCCGGTTCTTGGAGTATGCTGCGCTTCACAATTTATAGTTACACATGTAACAGGCAGACTGAACGAGAGAAGGGAAAGGGGTGAAGGAGAAAAAAATAGGATGCCTTGATGGATACATGAATTCAGTAATAGACGGAAGATCATAGAGATGATCCATTGGACAAAGGATAGACGGGTGGATAAACAGGGGAATCGTGGATGGATGGGTGTCCTTAGTTTAGCTTTGGATGTACTACAGATGAGCTCCCAGTGAGCTTATTTTTTCACATTATCTTTCACAAATGCTGATAATTCTTCTTCTTCGTCGCCATCACCCTTGAAGACATCTCCCAGTATACGAGACATGGGTTAAGTATTATATGCAGGATTTCCAGATGCAGGATATACCAATTAGTGAAAATAGTCCTTTACGTTTCATTAT